AGAGTAGGGAAACCAGACAATCTCCACATCAACACTGACAAAGAAACAGCAAGAAATTTTTACCCACAAGCATAAAGAAATTACATAGATTAGAAACCAACACTTTCTTGTTACTTTATTTTCCAGATCACCAGACTGGGCCACAGCAACGCGTGGCAGGGGACGGCTAGTATAATATAAAAGGAAAACAGTCAGTTTGGGAATGGCAAGGGAAATGAGGAGAGGAAGACAGAAGGAGAAACCTTCCCTCTAACATCACTTCACTGATGGCATGCCACTACAGAAATGAAGTGAGCCATCGCACCAAGGTAGGTGAAGGACACTTTGCAGGATTGGGAGCTATTGATAAGTTTTACCCATCAAAAGTTAGGGATGGGAGAATCAAGGAATTTGAGGGAGACAATTGTAATGCTAGTTTGCCTGTCTCTTGCAATAAAATCATGTTTCATGAGTAAGACCAGAGTATGGAGAAGTAACTTTTTTATTATTTCTCCTTATGAACCATCTAGGACACTAAGATCTTCTGGGGAGGCCCTGCTCTCGGTCCCGCCTTCCTCACAGATACATTTGGCGTGGTTGAGAGACAGGGCCTTCTCAGCGGTGGCCCATCGACTCTGGAACACCCTGCCTAGAGAGATAAGATCAGCCCCCTCCCTCCTGAATTTTTGAAGAAAGGTAAAAACCTGGCTTTTTGAGCAGGCCTTCTCAAATACAGCATAGATATACGATATCATGGAACCACTTGACGACGCAAATGACTCGATATGGAGATAGGCCTGGGCGGTTTCGTTTCGTTAATTCGTAATTCGTTAATAATTCGTTAATTTTTCCAATTACAAAACGATAACGAACCATTCTGGAGCAATCATTAAAAAAAATGAATTTTTAAACACGTTTTGTAAATGCTTCGTATTTCGTTATTGTATTCGTTTCGTTATTGTTCTGAGGTCGTTTCGTTATTATTTCCGCATGTCTGGGCCAGTTTTATGGTTTAATTAGTGAAAAAAAATTATAATATCACACCAACAGTCAAGAACAGAGGGAGAGGGAAGCTTCAGAAGTTTTTGGAGGTTTTTTAGCGTATTTCGCGGTCGCGTCCGCCATTAACGAATCGATTCGTTATTGTTTCAGAAATCAATTCGTTAATTTTTTACCATTTACGAAATTTCGTAAATATCGAACTTTTTAAAAGGAAAATTTTGTAATTATTTTAAATATCGAAACAAAAAAACCCCCCAAATACAAATAGATTTTAGAAACAAATTTTTGCGTTGTTACCCAGGCCTGTATGGAGACACTCATGATAATGTTCTTAAGGCTTAGTACGGTTTTTATATTTTTATATTGCTTGCTAGTGTTTTAATAGTATTTTATGATTGTTTTATTTGTTGTAATTGTTCTGGCATCGAATTGCTGCCAATTGTTAACCTCTCCAAGTCACCCTTGGGCTGAGAGAGGTGGTATATAAATGTAGTAAATAAATAAGTAAATAATAAATAAATATTGCTACATACAGCATGCGCTACCCAGATAATATGGCATGCTGGCAGGGCCGTAGCCAGAAAAAACATTCGGGAGGGGTTGAATTTTGGGGGGGGGGGGGGGTTGAAACCTGCCTCCTAGCTCATGCTGAAGCAAAGAGCACAGCAGGGGGCAGAGCAGCCTTCCATAGCCTGCAGCTCCGCCCTTGTCAACCACCTCCACCAAGTCTGGCCTCCTTAATGAGAGCATTCAACATCCTCCCCCTCAACTTGGTTGCTTCACTACTGTTCTGTCCCGCGCTGGGCCTGTAAATAATTGTCTTTAGAACAGGATGTGCAACCTTTGCCCAGCGGGAAGCCAGGGGGCCTAAAGAGAAGTTCTCAGAGGTTTCCACCACAAACAGTCTTTAGATGGCTTGAGAAGTACAACAAAGTCTTTTATTAATGAACAATCAAACAGAAACTTCTCTTGTCTTCAGTAAAGTTAAGCAAATGATTCCAAGCTTTTAGGCAACTGGTGAATTCCTAATCTTGCCCACGAAGGACAGGCAACTGTCTTCAATAACTTCTTCTTTACTTTAAAGGAAAATCCCCTTTTTAACTTCTCCCAGGCTGACTGTAATCTAACCCTTACTGATGTGGGCTCCGCTACCGGGTCGAACTGCATCTACAAGGCAGTAGATGTTCTCCAGCTGGAGTTCTTTGGTCTTTAGGGCTGTTTTCCTGGAAATTCTTTGGAGACTCTTAAGACCTTTCTCCCCCGGAAGGTCTTAAGGGTTGAAGCTTTTGTACAGGGGAAGCTTGCACACATCCTATACATAAGCTTACCTTGCTGAGACTAACTAAAAATGGCTCCCTTCCCTTCCCAATTGCCCTGAGCAAGGGGCGGAACCAAAACTTAACAATGATGGACAGGTGACTTGCCCTATGACTGCAACCAAAGAAGCCACCTATCTGCAGAGTCCCTGAAACCTAGGACTGCAAGCAAACATTTAATACAAAGCAAATAAAGTTGGAGCTCCTGGTACAGCTGTACCAGAACAACTACATCGGCTATTGCTGCAAGTAATGACAGTGTGAATAAATTGTCAATATTTGCTTGAGATAGTGCTTGCAGTTCTGGAGGGACTCTTAATTTTTTGCATCTCATAGACTTAGCATGGGGATTTGGTTAACCAGTTAAAATTCATGAGTAAACCAGGTTTTTTAAAAAAAAATCTGAAACATTTCGGGGGGGGGTTGAACCCCTAAAACCACCCCCTCGCTACAGGCCTGCATGTGGAGGTATGAAAGAGTTTCCCTGAAGTCTGTGATCTGGTGAACTGAGGCAGTTTCTTTCTTCTGAGTTAGGAACCAGAGTTGGTAAGTAACAGGGCCCATCGAATATGAATAGAACCTTTGACCTTTGGAACAAGAGGCCATGAAATTGGTTTTACCCTCAATCACATCCAGTCGGTCCAGAAGACGGGCAAAGCATTTGAAAAACAGAAATACAAGAGCCGTGTCAGTACTCTTTGGCAGCGAGTACCGATCTCTTAACTTGAACTTGCACTGCCAAAGCCTTTTAGTTCTCTGTCCCAGCCATTTCATCGAAACCAAATTAAAGGCAAAAGCGTTGGCAGGAGGCCAGGGACGCAGAATCGGCAAGAAAGTGAAAAGCTATTCCTGAAAGATTAGATGACTATCAATCACTTTCTGCCACAATTTCCCCAAGACCCTTAATGTTAATTCATACACAAAGCAGCAACATAAAGCAACTGTGCCTCAAGGAAAGTCTTTGCACGTTGTCATTTGCACATCTGCAGCAGGCAAATGATTTTCCCCCTTTCTTTTGTTCCAAACGGATAATGTTGGATAATGGTCAACCGTTCACCTTTTGCAAAATCAGAGTCTCAGCTCCCATTTGTCAAATGAAAAGAATAAAACTTGTGGATGCATTTAATGAGGTGTATAAATAGCAACTAACAATCTATTATGCCCGTAAGGCTGAAGTACATCTAATAAAAAAATATACTGAAGCATAGATGAACTCGGAGTCTTCGGCTAGTAATGGCCAATTGGGAATAAGAGTTATTTCTCTACAACAGATGTGGAGATTAAAGTTCACTGGAAGAGCATTCTCATAGCAAGCTCAGCATGTATTATTCTGTAAGAAGACCAAGACTTGTTCTTCAAGAGACCGTGGAACAACTAATTTCATTATTCAGATTAAGTAAGAGAGTGCGGGAACAGAGGTAAAGAGAGAATTAACTCTTTGGAGGTTATTGTTTTGGAGTCTTCCCTCCACAGCCCTCAATCTGCTCAGGATATGTGTTGTGCATGTTTCTCATTAGAGAAAAGAGTGTGGTGCTCATATGGACTCCCAGAGAGGCAAAACACATGTAGGGGTCTGCTCATCCATTTTTGTCATCAGTATAAAAATTCATTTTAAACAGATGTCCTTTCTAAAATTACCCATTTTACTAAGCCCAACACTTGGCTTCTCAGAAGTGAATCCTCTAGGCTGACAATAAATCAAGGGATGCCACTTGGGTTGCTCTCTGTAAACAATTATCACCCACCCCAACCCTTTATTCCCACAGTTTTTTCCCTGAGCATTTTTAAAAGATACCAAGGATAAAGGACATTGGCCAAGAACTTTACCCACACTTCTGCTGTCCTTCTGATCTCTGTGGAAGGCAGCTTCCCAGCCTCCAAATATATCTTACCAGCCTTTTAGTGGCCGATTTATATATATGTGCCCAGTTAGGGTCTGGTTGCAATTCCAAAACTAGAAGAAGAGAACCTTGCCTAGAACAGGGGTCCTCAAACTAAGGCCCAAGGGCCGGATATGGCCGTTCAAGGTCATTTACCTGGCCCTCGCTCAGGGTCAACCTAAGTCTGAAACAACTTGAAAGCACACAACAACAACAACAACAACAACAGTCCTATCTCATCAGCCAAAAGCAGGTCCCCACTTCCTATTGAAATACTAATAAGTTTATATTTGTTAAAATTGTTTTTCATTTTAATTATTGTATTGTTTTAAAGTGTTTTTGCACTACAAATAAGATATGTGCAGTGTGCATAGGAATTCATTCATGTTTTTTTTTCAAATTATAATCCGGCCCTCCAACAGTTTGAGGGACTGTGACCTGGCCCTCTGTTTAAAAAGTTTGAGGACCCCTGTTATAGAGGCATTCTCTCCTGACGTTTCGCTTGCATCCAGAAATCCTAACAGCTGGTAAACTGGCTGGGATTTCTGGGAGTTGTAAGCCAAAACACCTGCGGACCCACAGGTTGAGAACCACTGCTCCATGGGATACAGGTGTTATGGAAATACTCAATTCCAATTTTCGCATACATAAATCTGTTTACAGAGTTGTAATTCTCATATAGGTTTCTTTTCCTTATTTGTAATGATTATTTGCAGAATGAGGCAGAATAAATTAATATAAGAATTCGTTGAGTAAATGTGGTCAATGAATTCTAAAATGCATGCATAAGACAGAAAAAGAAATCTTAGGAGCTGGACCAAAATTCCCATTTTTATGTATAGTTTTTATTTTGAATTACATATTCGGAGACACGTAAAAGAGAAGAAATCCAGTCGAACCTAAAAATGAAAAAAGTGAGTAAATATTAAGACTGTAATGGACAGCCATTCTATCTTGCTTTCCTACTTTTTGTTGATATGCTACAAGCCCATTCTTTTCCAGCCTTCAAGATTTGTGATTCATTTGAATAGACCCAGCTTGATCCTTATCCCTGTTTTCCCTGTCATTCTATAATCTTGTTATTTCCTGTTTTCTTGGCCTGGTTTTTGTTCCTAGATTAATCCCAATTTCAAACATATGCTTGTTTCATATATATGTATGCATTTCTTTTCATTGCACAACCATGTAAGGCTTTTTGACAGACATTTTGTTTTGTTTAATTTTGTAAAGTTGCAATACTTTCAATAAAAGTTTTTTTAATGCCCTATTATTTCTGTCCTACAATGCTGTCTCTTCTGCTTTATATACCCACTCCTTCTATGTTGCAATTTACTATACAATCCCTGACATATATGGGATGTAGACCTCTACGCTGATGTCTACTTTATGCCGACCAGACCCAGACCTTGTTACCAGAGAAGGCTATATGCCCTCCTCCCCATGTTATAAATTCTGTCTCCCATGCTTTTTAACATCTACATGAAACTGCTGGGAGAGGTCATCCGGAGTTTTGGAGTTGGGTGCCATCTCTATGCAGATGACACGCAACTCTATTACTCTTTTCCACCGAACTCCAAGAAAGCTCCTCGAGTGCTAGATGAATGCCTGGCCGCTGTGGCTGTCTGGATGAGGAGGAACAAGCTGAAGATCAATCCTGACAAGACAGAGGTCCTCCTGGTCGATCGTAAACCAGATCAGGGTATAGGGTGGCAACCTGTGCTCCCCCTGAAGTCACAGGTCTGCAGTTTGGGTGTCCTCCTGGACTCATCACTTATGCTTGAAGCTCAGGCGTTGGCGGTGGCCGGGAGGGCCTTTGCTCAACTGAGACTCGTGCGCCAACTGCGACCGTACCTCGTGAAGGCGGATCTGGCCAGGGTGGTCCATGCCTTAGTCACCTCCAGATTGGACTACTGTAATGCACTCTACGTGGGGCTGCCCTTGAAAACGGCCCAGAAATTTCAGTTGGTTCAACGGGCGGCAGCCAGGTTGTTAACTGGTGCTCCTTACAGGGAGAGGTCAACCCTCCTGTTTAAGGAGCTCCATTGTCTGCTGTTCATTTTCCGGGCCCAATTCAAGGTGCAGGTGCTTACCTACAAAGCCCTAAACGGTTTGGGACCCGCCTATCTGCGTGACCGCATCTCTGTATATGAACCCACACGATCTCTCCGATCATCTGGAGAGGCCCTGCTCATGATCCCACCTGCGTCACAAGCCCGATTGATGGGGACGAGGGACAGGGCCTTCTCCGTGGTGGCCCCCTGACTCTGGAACTCTCTCCCCAAGGACATCGGATAAGCCCCAACATTGGCAGTCTTTAGGAAGAGCTTGAAGATGTGGTTGCTCCAGTGTGCCTTCCCAGAATAGGAAACTCCAAGCATCATGTCCCAAATGCACTTTACGACAGATTTAGGATTGTCTGTATGCCCATCTATCCCTAAAATATCTATCCTACTTCACTTGGACATGCCCAGCATTTTTTAAAATTTTAACCATTAAATTTGGCCCTGCCACAGGTTTTTAATGCATTGTGATATTATTGTTATTGTTTTTGCTTTGTTTATGAGTTTATTTATTGTTGTATTGTTGTCGTTGTTGTTTTATTGATGCATTTGGGCTCGGCCCCTTGTAAGTCGCACCGAGTCCTGTGGGAGATGGTAGCGAGGTATAAATAAAAGATTATTATTATTATTATTATTATTATTATTATTATGGTGGGAGTTTTATTTATCCATTTAATTTATATCCCACCTTCCTCCTAGAACAGGACTCAACATGGCTAACAAAAAGTTGAAACAAAATACAACTATAAACATTTTTAAAAAATCGAACATTTGAAAACATAACACAAAACACAGAAAGTAGATCACATTCCATTATTCCATTGAGAAGAACTTAAGAACCAAAAGCCTACCTAGCATGGCAGACTGAGAGCCAGGAAAATCTCCTGCGGGAGATGTCTGAGTGAAGACACAAAGCTGTCATGGTGTTGTTTTAATTCTGGATCTGGTGGAAGCAACGTCCAAAATCTAGTAGGATGCTTTGGAACAGGGACTTTCCTCCCGCTGCAGCTTTCCCACAGCACCCAAACATCTGATCTAGAAATCTTTTCCGGGTTTATGAAGCAGTTTTTTGGGGTGCACAGCAGGCTGCAGGGAAGAAACTATGGTTGAAGATGCTAATTGGGACAAGATATGCAGGGCTCATCCAGACAGGGCCCATAATGTGGGAGCTCCCATGGTTGGAACTCACAACCTGGTGAGATTAGGCAAGCCCCCACTCAAGAGATGGTATTGCCAGGTCCTTCTTCTGAAATACAGCCTATGGTATTTGTTGGTGGTCTCGCATCCAAGAACAGCCTTCAAGAAAAACCTGAAAACTTGGCTCTTCCGATGTGCCTTTGGGAAGTGACCATTTATCCCATTTTTGTTTGTTCCACCTATAGTGTTGCCCCTATGATTCACTTTCTCCCATCCTAAACTGAAAGCCTTACTCCACTTACTCCCTTCAATTACACCTTTTTTTTCTATTCCTACCTCATCCAGGGTTTTATCATTTTACCTCGTCCATTCGGCCTGCCCATCCTGTTCGATTTTATATTGTATTAATTTGCTTTATTTATTTTATTTTACTACAGTATGCATTTTATTCTGATGTAATTTTTGTTGTCTGAGTTCTGTATTTTATTTTGCTATATTGTATCCTTGAGCCTGGACTCATGTTAGCCGCCCCGAGTCCCCTTTGGGGAGATGGTAGTGGGGTATAAATAAAGATTATTATTATTATTATTATTATTATTATTATTATTATTATTATTATTATATCCTGCTTTGTCCTGAATTAATTTGATACTCCATTAGACCCGGGTTTTCCTGAGCAACCCAGGTCTAATGAAGTATGAGTGCTGTGGGGGCTGACCTTTCAGTAGTCCTGGGACTATAGAGGGATCAGTTTGCACAGCCTAATTCACTTCTTCGTGCCCATGGACCTGGAGAAGTGAAGAAGAAAACCAGCCCCTTCCACGATTCCCCCCTAAGATCTTTAAAATAAAAGAAAAACTTACTGAGCCACCATTAGGCTTTTTGGCATGCTTTTTGGAATGTACCAGTGTAGCGCTCAGAGATGGGGAAGGAGGAATCGCTCCTGGACTCTTAGCACTACACTGATATGTTCCAAAAAGCATGCCAAAAGGCCTAATGGCAGCCCGGTAAGTTTTTCTTTTATTTATAAGGTTTTTTTTGGGAGTGGAGGGGATTTGGGTTGTTTCTATCATAGCATGGTTATTACTGCGATGCAATGGGGACCACATATGGGAAAGCCTGCTTCATTTGGGCATCCATGCGGACAGCAATGCAGGAGAAAACTGGTTACTTTAACCTGTTTTCTCTCATTTTCTTTCACAATAAATTGCTGCCTGGACGTGGCGTCAGGCAACCATCTTACCTTTTATAGCATCTCGCTGTATTCACAAACCAAAGCTCACTCACTCTATCTACTTACCTGCCTATCTTTCTATCTATCTATCTATCTATCTATCTATCTATCTATCTATCTACGAGGGTTGAATGTAAAGTAATGCCTCCACCTTCATTACTCGGGTTTGGATGGGAATATTTTAATAAATCAAATGCAGAAATAATCCTTAGAATGTGCTCTTTAACTACCACTATTCACTCTTCCACATAATCACAAGACAATAGGATACATTTCTGTCAATGATGAACAAGTTTTCTGAAGTTGTCACGAAAGAAGTCGACACTCTGTTTCCGCAACCAGCATCTCACAATTCTCTCATCCTGGGTACCCATCGTGCACAGATCTTCCGATAGCCAACCAAAGCAATAATGTGTTCTTCACATGTTCTTGTGAAATGCCAATTATGCTTGAAATTTTTCTCTGAGTGATAAGACAATCATCCTGAATCAATCTGTCAACCTTTTGCTTGTGAAACTCAGTGTTGCTGTCACAGGACGTCCAACTCTTTGTTTGTCATGCAAGTTACATGTTTCCACCTCAACATCTTTAAACTTACTCGCCCAGTGATGCACAGTACTCACATCAACACAATCACCATAAACAGCTTGCATTCTCTGATGAATCTCCTTTGGGGTGACACCTTCTGCTGTCAAGAATTCAATGACTGCACGTTGCTTAAGTCGCATTGACCAACCATCTGTGCAGGGTTCCATACTTCGCACTTTAACAACACAACTATTCAATGCTAAGGCTTCCCATCAAAATGGAATTGTAGAAGAGAGTCTACTGAACAAGCCAGTACCTGCCGCACACCAGTACTGCTATCTGTTGAGGAGTTACAAAGGTGGAGGCATTACTTTTCATTCAACCCTTGTATCTATCCATCTACCATATTTTTGCATCACCCTTCCACTTCTAGGTATTTACAGTGATATGCAGGTTCTTTAAAAAAATCAAAATAATAGCATGGGGAAAAATCACAAAAGCTAAAAGGAGACAGAAAAAATACAGATGTTAATACCAAACTAGAACTAACTAAAAGCAAAGAGTGGCATAGGAAAGCAATATTGCTTTTACTAGCCATATAAGAACTAATAGGAGGAGACCCAACCTAACTTATTTTGTACATGGAACAATAAGAGGGATCTGATTTCTATCCTGCTGCAGAAATGGTCATATTGACTTTCTATCAAGACTATCTTTTTAGGTGTGATGTAGAATGGGGATTCAGAAAAAGAATGAAGTTGCCAGACAGGTTATGTAGGAGGAGGAGGGTTTATTCAGATAATCTGGCTCCCAACTGCTCTGATGTCCAAGGAAGAATCGCCTTCATTCATCTCTCTGGGTCTTTGCCTGTAAGATGTCTTCTCTGCTCCTAGAAACACTCTTAACTGGTAGGCAAAGGCTGTGGAGCTCTTGTCTCCCTTCCTTCAATGGAGTCTAGATGTGCCTCTGTTCGCAGTGTGGAACGCACTTTCTCAGATGTATAAAATAATTAGAAGGGGGAAAAGTGTTGCTATGGCAGCTGGATGCTTTTTTTCTGCTGGGAGAGAACCCATGAGAAATTCTGACTGAGTCAGCAGCAGGAATTCTTTCCTCCTGGGGTTGCTGCCGCTAGACGCACAGACTCCGACTTCCTGTTCTCGCCTTGGTGAGAATGTGCTGCCCCTGGCCGTTGCTTAAATGTTCTTAGCTTTTTTTGGTTTCAGAATTTTGACGATATCCCCTTTACTTCGCTTTCCATTGTTGTCAATTTTGCTGGAAATGTGATGGAAAGTTCTGTGTTCTCATGATTTCTCAGAATAACAAGTTTATAAGGATGTAACTCAGCTATGAATAGAAATAGGTTCTGAAAGCCATCTAATTCTATAAGAGCTTAAAGAACGAAGAAGAAGAAGAAGAAGAAGAAGAAGAACAACAACAACAACAACAACAATTCAAGGTGCAGGTGCTCACCTACAAAGCCCTAAACCAGTGTTTCTCAACCTTCCTAATGCCGTGACCCCTTAATACAGTTCCTCATGTTGTGGTGACCCCCAAACATAGAATTATTTTTGTTGCTACTTCTTAACTGTAATTTTGCTATTGTTATGAATTGTAATGTAAATATCAGATATGCAGGATGTGTTTTCGTTCACTGGACCAAAGTTGATACAAATACCCAATACGCCCCAATTTTAATATTGGTGGGCTTGGGGGAGAGTTGTCATTTGGGCGTTGTAGTTGCTGGGATTCACAGTTCACCTACAATCAAAGAGCATTCTGAATTCCACCAGCAATGGAATTGAACCAAACTTGGCACACAAAACTCCCATGACCATCAGAAAATACTAGAAGGGTTTGGTGGGCATTGACCTTGAATTTTCAAGTTGTAGTTCACCTAAATCCAGAGAGCACTGTGAACTCAAAGAATGATGAATCTGGACCAAACTTGGCATCAATACTCAACATGGCCAAATGTGAACGCTGGTGGAGTTTGGGGAAAATAGACTTTGACATTTAGGAGTTGTAGTTGCTGGGATTTATAGTTCACCTACAATCAAAGAGCCCCTTGAAACCCACCAATGATAGAATTAGGCCAAACTTCCCACACAGAACCCCAATGACCAGCAAAAAATACTGTCTTTTCAGATGGTCTTTGGCGACCCCTCTGACACCCCCTCGTGACCCCCCCAGGGGTCCCGACCCCCAGGTTGAGAAACACTGCCCTAAACGGTTTGGGACCCACTTACCTGTGTGACTGCATCTCCATATATGAACCCACACGATCCCTCCGTTCATCTGGAGAGGCCCTGCTCACGATTCCACCTGCGTCGCAAGCGCGTTTGGTGGGGACGAGGGACAGGGCCTTCTCTGTGGTATCCCCCCGACTCTGGAACTCTCTTCCCAAGGACATCAGACAAGCCCCAACGTTGGCATCTTTAGGAAGAGCTTGAAGACCTGGCTGTTCCAGTGTGCCTTTCCAGAATAGGAAACTCCCAGCATCATGTCCCAAACGCACTTTACTAGAGATTTAAGATTGTCTGCACATCGCACCTACCCAAAACCCTTAACATTCTTGAGTGCTTGACAATAGCAATTGACAGTGGGCTGAAGTGTGGGTGTGATATTTAATCCCTCTCCTACAGTTGGATGAGGAATTATCCCCCCCCCCCAACAAAAAGCTGGAAAAGTAGTTAACTGCTACTTCAGCAACAATGTTGATTATAATTACAGCTAACTATGGTTAGCACAATACAACCCCCTTATGTGTGGACTAGATAAAGCCCAGTTAAAGTGATGTCAAACTGCATCAATTCTACAAGTGTAGATGTACATTTTTGCAGGAATGAATTCATGACCCAGAAGGCACAAGAGGAAAAAGAAGGTGTGTGCAATCTAGCAGCCCATTTCGACTGCTCGATCACAGTGAAATAATCGGAAATTTACTATCTGCACCAGCTTCATCTGCAATAACATTTTCTATATCTCTA